ATTGAAAGAGGGTGTGAAGACCTGCAGTTTGAAGTCCAGTGAACATGTTGATGTGAGCAAGAAGACCGAGGTGAAGTGTGGCACCTCTATTCACCGTGCTAAGGGTCGTTCTGGAGGAGTTCACGTGGATGTTTGGGGGCCTTCCAAGGGGGCATCATTGGGAGGTAATAGGCGTTTGGTTTCCTTTGTTGGTGACTGTTCTAGGCGTGTTTGGGTTGCAACCAAATCCCCTTTGGAGAAAGTCCTAGTAGTCTCTAACAGATTGAAGAAGTGTGTAATAGACAGAAAGGTGAAGGTACTCCATTCTGGTGGGAGGTACAAGATGGACCTATTTCTGTATTGGAGCCGAGCTCACGGCATTGCGAGACACTTCGTTGGGAAGGAAATCTTGGGGCAACTAGATAAGGTGATAAATTTGGAGAACCGTGCCTTTTTGGAGGAGGATCGGTGTTTGTGGTCGAGCAATGGTTTGCAGAAGAGTTTCTGGACAGAGGTTTCGACATATTTGGGTTATCCTATTAAAGAGTTGTCAACTGCTGTGATTGGAGGTAAAACTCCATTAGAAGATAGGTCTGGTAGTGTCACTTTGGTTGAGGTATCGATGTGGAAGATAATTGACTCTCAGCAGGTGGAGAGTTTTGGACAGACCCTAGAGGTATCGCAGCGGGTGGAGACTGATGCTACTCCACATTGGGTGGGGATTTTCCCACATACTTCAGGTCATTCTGTATTGGTTGGGATTTCAGCTGAGGTGACACAGCGTGAGAATCATTTGGATTCGGATGCAGATGATGAGTTGATAGATTCGAATGCAGCTGGTAGACGTAGTTTGGATATGGCCATTGGTTCACCTCAGGTGGAGGTGTTTGAGGCCATTGGAGGTGCTATCAGCCGCAGAGTTGATGATATTGGAGAAGGGTTGCGAACTCTTCTATTGGTTTGAGGTCGTTCGCGGCCATTTGGGTGAACTACGTTCGGCTTAATTCCTTGGGCAAGAGGATACGTCGGCAGTCTTATGATGCAGCCGGGTTGGATTATTTGATGGGGGTGAGATCGATTTGGTGAGTTGATACCGACATTTGGAGAGTGTTTGCATTCTCATTTGGGTTCTCGACTTGTTATGGATTGAGTCTGTTGTCGTGAATTGTTTCACGGTGTACTGGACACAACAAGTGAGATATTTGGTTTGGTCGGTGTCGGCTCAGTTTTGGAAAAACTTCACCGAGGTGGAGAATTGTGAGTGGGACCACGAGCCCACGAGAGCTGGGCAACGTTTCCGCATGATGAAGGCTCACCCGCTTCTCAAAGTCAGCAGAGTATATATATCTATGCATTTATTTTAGGGTTTTTCGGTGCAGGAGGCGGTGAAAAGGGCAGCAGCAAGGTGGATTCCCTTTTTTTGGCGGCTTTGTTTCTTGGAGAAAACGCAGCAAAGAAAAAGAGAAGAATAGGGATTTGTGTAGCTTTGGTGAGAGTATTTGTGTGAGAGAGAGATAATTGTGTGAGGGTTTAGATTGAGTGATTGTAAACCCTAGTTGTATAATCTCTCCCTCTAATAGTAGATCTCCCCCTCCTTGCCCCGTGGACGTAGGCAGTTTGCCGAACCACGTAAAATTGATTTGTTTGAGTTTGTGGCCATTGTAATAGTTTTTTAGGATCCCTCGACGCGCAGTCCTAGAGCTGACGAGAGGAAGAGCAAATATACCACTTTGATGGGATATTAGGCTTCAGATTCTTGTTCCCTTTGAGAAACAAGAATTCTTATCGATCTTTCTCTCTTATTGTGCACCAGAAACTTTGCCGAAATTTCCACTATGAGATACAAATTTTAACAAAATAAGTTCTAAATATTTTCAGTTGTCACCATATGTGAGGCAGGAATTAAGAACAATGAATATAGGTGCAATCGTTCTACCAAATGCAGACAAAGAAGCGGGCGATGATAATGCAATATTGCTAACTAGACAAATTCCTCGATTACTTAACTACATGAATGCTGTAGATAAATTTATTCCTAAAGAGGTCTCCTATCCAACTATATATACACAGGAAGTTGCAAGCAAAATAATAATCACTGATAAACTAAACATGAAAACAGAGTTACTTCAAAGAAACAACAATCGAATCAAGAGAATGATGATCTTTACACCCAAAGGGGAGAACGAGACAAACTACCATAAACTTTGAACTCTACTACTAATAAAGTTCAGGTCACATTGTGTAACTTTACTTGCGACCTATTAACTGTCACTGTTATTTCTTTCATGTCACAATATTTACTTTCTGAAAATGCAGGCTATTGTAGAAAACCTAGCTGAAAACAACATCATGGTGATCTTAGACAATCATATAAGCAAGCCAGGATGGTGTTGTAGCAACTCCGATGGCAATGGCTTCTTTGGAGATAAGTATTTTGACCCAGATTTATGGATCAAGGGGCTGAATCAAATGGCAACAATGTTCAACGAATCCACTAATGTTATTGGAATGAGCCTAAGAAATGAGCTGAGAGGGCCCAAGCAAAATGTCACTAGTTGGTACAGGTAAATAAATTCAACTTTTTATTTCCTATAGGGCTTAATTGCGGGTAGACTCCATCGACCACCTAGTTGAACTTACCACTCTCTAGGTCTATGGTTGCAGATAGACACCCCAAAAAAGTTATATTGTTGTGGATTGATCCCCCGAGTTAAAATCTAATGTTACAGATAGACCCCCTAATCCGGGTAAAAAAAAAATCCACTCAGGAGGCCAGTCTATCTGCAACATTAGAACTACAGGGATAGTAAGTTCAATTTGGCGATAGTAAGGGTGTCCATCCACAATTAATCATTTCCTATATTGTATTTAAATCATGATTTTTCTATGTTCATATTTGGTACCTCATCAAATATAACTAATATATACAAGCACAGATACATGCAACAGGGTGCAGAAGCAGTTCACTCCATGAATCCTAATGTTCTCGTTATAATATCTGGATTGAGCTTTGACAATGATTTGAGCTACCTCTCAAATAAGCAAGTAGATTTAACTTTCACTAAAAAATTAGTATTCGAATTTCATTGGTATGGCTTCTCTGATGGTCAAGCCTGGGCCAATGGTAACCCAAACCAAGTTTGTGGTCAGGTGAAGGCCAGTGTTATGAGAAGAGCTGGTTTCCTATTAGACCAAGGATACCCATTGTTCTTAAGTGAGTTTGGCGTCGACCAAAGAGGACTTAATGTTAATGATAACCGATACTTAGGGTGCATTCTTGGGGTTGCAGCTGATCTTGATTTGGATTGGGCACTTTGGACATTGCAAGGCAGTTACTATCTTAGACAGGGGGTTCTTGGTTTAGATGAAGTGTATGGGGTTTTAGCTTGGGATTGGTGTAAGCCACGAAATTCTACCTTTTTACAAAGGATTTCAACTCTCCAATCTCCATTCAGAGGTATGGATCAAATTCTCTATTCAAATTGGATTAGTTACATCCCATCAACTGGAGGTATGGTCTAACTACACGGGTGACCCTATGATATGTCTATCTACATAGTTAACACTGAGATCACTTATTGCAATTACACGGATGACCTTGGAGTCTTTTTTTTTTCTTTAGGGTTATATGTGTAAATATTATCAGTTATCTCAGAGTTACACATATAGATGCACAGACTCCATGATTACCTGTGTAATTATACCAAAACTCAGGGTGCATGAATGTAAAATTCAAACATGAATACTAATATGTTTAGAGACTAATACATCGCTTTAAATTTTTATGACACAGGTCCCGGTCTTTCAGATGTTCCACCTTATATTATACTATTCCATCCACTAACGGGGATGTGTGTGACTACGAAAACTTTGCTTGAACCATTACGATTAGGACCCTGTGATGAATCAGAAGCCTGGACCTATTCAGATCAGCACATTTTGTCACTAAAGGGTACGTTAACGTGTCTAAAAGCAGATGCTAAAGGTCAGAACGCAAAGCTCGGGATTATCTGTGATGATTCTACTTCTAAGTGGGATTTGGTATCGGACTCTAAGATGCATATCGCTACCAAGCTAACAAATAATAGCAGCAGTATTTGCTTGGATATTGCCTCTGATGGCACTACTATTATAACAAATGCTTGCAAGTGCCTTAACAAAGATAAAGCTTGTGATCCTCAGAGCCAGTGGTTCAAGATGGTTACTAGTACTCGAAATGTCGTAAAGAAGAATTCACTAAGTAAAGCGATTAGTGATGAAGGAATGTGGACGGCACAGTAAAACATATAGCTGGTGTCTAATCTACAAGTCATGATCTGTATTCATTTGGTTCATATCATTTATAGCAAATTAGCATAGATGGGTATAGGACTATTCATGTAAAATGCATTCTTTGTATGAAACATGAACTAAGATGTAATGTTATAAAAAAATGAATTGAGATGTAATAAATGCAAAAGCTTGAAGCTTGAAGAAATTCTAGCAAGCCACTGAAAAAAAAATCCTCTACATATTGAATCATTCAAATCAGATTGCGTTCTCCCCAATGATACAGATAGAAATGTAACAAATAACTTTGACAATGGTAGAAATTGTCAAAATTTCCTCTAGGCCCAAATTGAATTACCAATACCCTTTTATATTTCCTGCTAATTTCTCTTTTTCTCTTCTTGTTGCTTTGTTACGCCACCAAGACTTACACACATGATGTTTCAGTCTCGCAGTGTATCTACTACCCTTTTTTTAACTTCAAAGACAAAACTTAAAACCACTGTTCATGCCATATAGGAACTATTCACGATGCAGAATAATGCGGAGTATTAAAAGTATTGTTCCTGCTGCAGTAATATTTTCATCCTTAGACCTACTGTTCCGGCTACATTGGATTTTTTGCCTTTAAACACTGTTCATGCTACCTTTTGTGCCCCTTTATCCACTGCTGAAGTTTAAGTAAATTTTTTTTGTTCTACCGTGTTTTTTAAAACTATTCATATCTACTTTTTTTTCTTGTAGATGATTTTAACCTTCATCAGATATATCACAAATATAAATCTTTTCTAATTAAGGGGTGTTTGGTTCATTTCCCATTTTATTGGGAAACATCATTCTATTTGAGAAAACTTAGTTTTGAATTTTCTAAAATTTTCCAAGAAATTGATTATTCGTGTTTGGTTCACACATAATACATGGTGGGAAATCAATTTACACACTTTTCCTTTGTTTGGTTGGTACAAAAAAAAAATGGGAAAACTTTTGTTGGTTAGACTTTTTCTTAATTTTCTTGTGTTTGGTTGG